CAGCCAGCCAGCCACCAAAGTACCCGGCGGAATCAGCCAGCCAGCCAACTAAAAAGTAGCCGGCGGAATCAGCCAGCCAGCCACCAAAGTAACCGGCGGCTGGCGGAATCAGCCACCAAAGTATCCGGCGGCTGGCGGAATCAGCCACCTAAAGTATCCGGCGGCTGGCGGAATCAGCCGCCTAAAGTATCCGGCGGCTGGCGGAATCTGACTTAGGCCCCGAACTTCAGGGTCTATAGATTTTGCCCTCTTTGTCATGGGAGTTGAGTTTTGCGTGCTTGATCATTGTACTGACAGCAGTTCTTTGGTACAATACAGTGGAGTTCACAAAGCTGTTTGGGTGGTACGAGGACCTGGCATTGTACAAACAAGGCGCTCTTGTTGCAACAGTGACAATGCTGACGGTGGTACTAGGGATGAAGGCAACAGTTTCACAGAATTCAGAATGTCTCGCAGTGTTGTTGGGAGCAATGATGATCATGATGGTGATGATTGTGAGAGAATCGATGAGAAAACAACGACCACAAATCTCATCCTGGGAACAGAAAGAAGGAAGACTCAGGAGTTGATCCACGCTGGTCTATCGCAGATGTTTTCAGAGGACAACATTATGCTGACCAACATGGATGGAATGAGACATGCCATCAATGAAGACTTCAAGAAAGTTTCCAATTTCATTGGTGACAGCAATCGCTTCACATATCAGAAGATGGATGACATTTCCGAGGAGCACAACTACAGAATCACAAAGGTCATCGATCGACTGATCCGGATTGAGTACAAGCAGGAACGACAGGAGGTGAGAGCACTTGATCTGGAGAAGAGATTGAAGCAAAAGAAAAGAAGAAGGACACCGTCGATGAGCTCAGAAGCAAAACGTGACACCCTGCAGAAACGACAAGATCGCCGTGAGGCACCAGGAACACCAACAGAGCCCGAAGTGATGAGCATGTTAGAGTCACCGACTCCCCAAGAGCTGTTCCAGGACTTGGCCAGTGACGGAAGGATAGCGCCCTATGAAGAGCGAGATGAAAATGATGAAGGCTATGAGGGTGGACATGGTGAAAAGCCGACAGGCATGAGCAACGAGCAATGGGACTCAATGACAACAAAAGAGAAAACCTATTTTCTTTTGACAGTTTCCTGGGAAGCAGCATGTGTCTATGAAGACCAAGAGCAGATGAGCAGGATTGTCGGTGATATGAGGACCCTGGCTGACGAGATCAATAACGAGAAGTTGGCATCCCTTTCGGGGGCCAGTAGTTCCCATCACGATGTCCCAAGGGCAGAACAATCACAGAACATTGAGGAATGTGAAGTTTCAAAGCTTGAAGCATGATTGTTCTGTTCTGCACATGACGTCGTGACCGGACGGGACGTCATGAAGGACACCTCGGACAACCTCAGGTGTTCGACTCCCGACTAACCTTTAGGCCTTGAGTCTTGAGCCTCTCGAGGTGGGCAGAAAACAATCTGTCCGCCAAGGGTTCTTGCGCGTTGACAATATATATCTATAGACTATATATATATTATATTCGCACACTCCAAGTTCAATGGATTTGTTCCGATCTTCTCTCTGTACTCTTCCTCCCTAAATAAGTCTGCGGTGCTACAGTATGTTACAATTAGTCTATGCGCTCGCTGTGCACAGGTATGTGAACGCTGTGAAGAGTATCAGCCTTGGAATCCGCAAAGGTGAATGCTTCAGCCTGTTGGGTCCCAATGGTGCTGGAAAGACAACCACACTTGGAATTCTCACAGGTGAAATCAGGAGCGATAGGTTCTAAATATTGCTCTCAACTTTTGGTCCATTGTGGTCTGGAAATATCCTGTAGCATTTAGCTTAAACTTGGAGTATTCCAGGTTGCGTGTCTTTTTGTCCTGCTTGGTCATTGCTTAGCTTGACAGGAGCCCCAGTGCTGGCAAAGTCAGCATCTTCGGGCACAACATGGCACGAGAATCCGAAAGACTAAAGGCCTTCAAGCTCCTCGGGGTTTGTCCGCAAGTTGACCCGCTTTGGGACGCTCAGACTGATTGGGTTCAAGTGGATAGACCGTGTTGCTTTTGGATGAATCATAATTTGTCAACCCCTCCCTCTCCTTCGTTTATGCAACAAGAGTCATGCGAGTCCGTCTAGTGGAGTTCAGTTCTTGCGGGCCTTTGAGCGAGGCACATTATGGAAAAAACATCTAGGAACCAAATCCTCAAGGCTCAGGCTTCTTCAATGAACTTCTCCCCTCAGGGGAGAGAGCTTCCTTGAATAAGCCTGAGCCCTTCTGCGTCCAAGCCTAGTAGCGACCTACTTCATAGCTTAGTAGCAGACATTGCTCTTACTTAAGCTCAAGGCTACCACCACTTCGGCCCCAACTCTGAACGCCTAGGATGATATTCCCGGCAAAGACCACCTTCGGCACCTTGGAGTTTGGCTAATCATGCAGCGCATTGCGTCCTTGCGTCCTAGTAGTAAGGCCAGGAGCGTCCTTGTTCCTAGTAGCGATGCCCTTTGCTCCTACGTAGTAGTTTCTTTGTGTGCTTGTCAAATTGTACCTGAGATACTTCAGTTTCTGTTTCAAGGTACTTTGGCCGGATCAAAGGTGTCCCAGAAGTCGATCTTGATTCAACGGTGATGAATTTGCTCCATCGCCTTGGTCTCTCAGATGAGGATGCAAGAAAACCCGTTGGAACCTACAGCGGTGGAATGAAGCGGCAGCTTGGACAAGTTTGGAAAGTGTGCAAGCAACCTATTCACACCCTGGGTGTTGACCACCTATATAACCAAGGAAGCTCAGTGTTGGAATTGCCCTCATTGGTAATTCACAGGCAGGCTGACATTTCAGCAATCAGCGCATTACAGCCAAATCTTTGCATTGTCAGATGCTTTTCCTGGATGAACCATCTGCGGCGGTAGATGCTGGAGCGAAGCGACATTTGTGGAAAGTTATCAAGTCACGCGAACCTGATCAGATGCTTGGATTCCGAGTCAGGAAATGCCAGGGCATGAAATCATAAACCAACACTAATAGGAGAAATCCTCATTGCTAATTGCAATGGCCTCCAACCTAATAGCAATGCCCTTCAACCTAATAGGAATGGCCTTCAAGCTACTCGCAACGGCCTCCAACCCAGAAGCGATGGCCTCCTACCTACTAGCAGCTAGCAAGTTATTTGTGGCATAACCAATCAAGTCCACATAAATGGCTTTCTTCCGTCAGTTCTGCTGGCTGAGCCAGGCTTGCAGAGCTTAGGACCGTGGTTCTCACTACTCATTCCATGGAGGAGGCCGGTGCCCTCAGCAGCCGCATGGCCATCCAGGTCACAGGCCAGCTGAGATGCTTAGGGACGCCAATGCACATCAAGCACAAGTATGGCACCGGCTTCTAGGCTCAGCTTGCAGCCTGTGTGTTGACTTGACAAGTCAACAAATTCACCTAGCTCTGAGGCTATCAGCTTGAACTGGTTATTGCTCCTCAAGCTTCTGTGGGTGATGGGTTTGCATCCAAGCAGGAGACCTTACATGTTCATGTTCTCGGCATTATGTTATAGATCCCTTTTTAAAAGGGTGACCCTCATAATGGGTTTTGGGAGGTCTCCCTATTCTAATGCACTTAATGCACTCCCAAAGTCACTCCCAAATATCTGCAACATTTATTCTTTTTTGGGTTTCTGTCAGTTTCTGCCTGCCGGTTCAGAAAACTTTGAGGCACCCGATCTTGGACTTGATAAGATTCGCCCTTGTCAGGAGGAGCTTGAAAGCTTTGTGCAGGGACATCTCTCACCTTTGGCGCAGCTTTTGGAGAGCCACGCGGAACGTCATTTATACCAATTGCCACCTCGAAGTGAGGGATTGAAGCTGGGGAAAGTCTTGCAAGCTGTGGAGGCGCATAAAAGTGGCCACTTGGATCCACGTGCCACGTTTTCATCATGAGACTGACTCCAAGTCTTGCATCGTCAGCCTGGCTTGTCTGAGGCTTGGGGATCTCTGAGTACAGCATCTCTCAGCCTTCTTTAGAACAGGTCTTCCTTCGCTTTGCAAAAGAGCAGTATGAGGCGAACCGGGCAGCAGAAGCGGATGCCGAAAATGAACACCAATGAAGTCCCAAGCGGATGCTGAAGGGTCGCGAGGGAGTCCGGATGCGCTGGATGTACTTGGCCCACTTGCATGACAGGAGCCTGTGTGAACAAGCAAAGGGTTGCGTGATGGAGTCATTGAGCTAGGGGAGGACTTGCAGCCGAAAGTGCGCATTGTTTTTCATACCCAGCCGTCTCCAGTAGCCCCACTCTGATTTTGTTCAATCCAGGTAGTGTCGGAATGCCTTGTCACAAAGTCGACTAAGGCTGTGTGAACATGCCCATTTAAGGCCTATTTTTCTTGACTTTCCCGGGTGGCGATGATCGCCTTAAAGGCTTGATCTCTTCACCCCATGGATGGGAACCTTATTTATTGGAGCGGCGTAGGAGCTGGGTGTTTGCATAGTTTGCAACGTGGCCCATAAAGGGTCATGTCGTGTCTTTACCACCGGGTTTCAAGTGTGACTGCCTGCTCCCAAAAGGCTCTCGCTTGGCAAACTCTCAAATGATCCAGCTGGTGAGGGTTGCACTAGCCGCAGTATTCCGCCAAGGCGATGCCGCTTTTCTGGATGCGATCAAGGAGATTTACTGTGGTGAAGCTTTGTTTTGCAGGCAGGTTGCATCCTTCAACCTTCTGTCGCCCTTGCAGGCCGTAAACCAAGCGGTGAGCAACATGACCCAGATGACACAACCTGGACCTGTGCCACCACCTCAACTGCTATGTTCATGGAGAAAGTTGGAAGGGACTCGGGTTGTGGAGGTGTGCGACGGAGAATGCTTGAAGGCTGGCCATTACACATGCCATCATGCGGGGGGTGGGGCAAAATACTTTCGTTGGGAGGTTCACAGGTTATGGCACTCTTTTGCCGATTCCGCACATATATATATATATATAGGTGCAGCAGCCTCAAGAGACAGGAAAGCACATGTAGCAGTTTTGGCGGGCCAAAAGAAGCCCGGCCACCACTTAGATTTTGGTCTTGAGACGGGCTAGGGTAACCTTCCGTTGTGTAGCATTGTGCCACGTTGGTGCTAGTTAGGCTAGGTATGGCTAGGTCCAAGTTACTGGCAATTGTTCATGTTGTATTGCGACTCTGGTCTTGATTGGGGGAAGGCAACTCTGACCCGCATAACATATATAATTTACAATATAATGCGGACCATTCTAAGCTACTGAGCAACAATGGTGCAAAACTTGTCGAGCCACTGGCATCTTCAGCAGGTCACGTGTACTAGTGATAACTATAGGTCTCACTAGATGAGCGCCGGGCCAAGGCCCTCGCTAGACGACCTTGCATATTTGACCACCCTCTGTGGGCACACTAGGTTTGGGAAAATACGGCCATCGAGGAAGTTATATATCTATATGTTTCATGATGGGTACTCGAGCCAGAGTCAAGTTTTCTGCTTCACCTGCCTTTTGCATCCTTTTGCTGTCATTTAGGGCTTGATACTCAGGCCGCCTGTCAATCCACCGAAGCCTCAATTGCGCTTTTGTCCGAGCTGTGGTGCGAAGGCTAGACGCATGAATCAAATCGAGTTTTGCAAATCTTTCTGCTTGGACCTGGGATGTGTATAGTCCGCTCCTCATAGACTTCCGTAGATTTTGTAGAATTTCGAGCCAGAATATCAGATCCTTACACAGCACCAATGAACCTCGTGGTATGTTGCCATTTCATCCTGGATGTTCCGAAAGCGCAGGTGATCAGCCAAGCCCACCGCTTTTGTGCCTATTGCAGACTTCTGAGACTAGCTGATGCATGCCTGCTGATGTCAGCCTAACTCGTATGAGTCCCTAGAAACTCCTGACGTTCAGGCTGCTTCCCATTTGGCCAATTGCAAGATGAGACCGTACCGCATGCTCAGCAGCAATTGCTCTCCTCTTCACCAATGCCCAACTGCTACTTGGCTGTAGTAGATCATGCTAGATAACAACCCTTCATTGGCAACTGTTGGGAGACCGCGGGTAAGCATATAATATATGTATATATAAATGTATATATATACATGTTTATACATACACATACACGGCATATTTTTGTAAGATAATTGGATATATAGTTATCAGTTCACAAACAAGACTTAAGGCTTAAGGCTATCAAGAGGTGGTCCTGTGCGGATTTGGCTGAGGTCCCATGGGTCCCGTTGAGCAAGCCTTGCTGGCCAATATGCAGGTGAGTTTGGGTGGGGATTTTTTCTCCGACAACATGCAAAAGGTCCCATAAGATTAAGCCGATTTAAATTAAATTGTCCTCGAAACAATTCCAGCCGCTTGCCGTTTGAGCACGGCCGGCAAGGCTTCTTCTGTGCCACAGCCTGTGATGCCAGGGAAGGTCGGGAAAAAGGCTCGGGTTCACAGGAAGGTTTGCTTCGGTTTGAATGTCCGAAGTGCAGTGAAAAGCACTGCGCACTGCGAAGCCCACTCGAGTTGACGGAACAAATTAGGAAGGTGTTTACTATAACACTTGCAAACGGTAGATTTTGGAGCAACAAATATAGTGGTCGAAGGAGGCAGGAATTGAAATGACTGACACTGAATAATAGTGGGCACAGTTGACATGTTGGTGGACAAGTTAAGGATGCGGCCGAAATGTTCAACTGCCTGTTCACAAGGGGTCACTCGAGGGCCCCACACGGTACCTGCAAACGGATGAAACGATGCAGACCATTTGGAACGTGGATGAACATCTTGAATGTTAACTGTGCGTTTTGCTGAGCCACGCTGGCAACTTTTCTGCGCTCTTGGACTCACTGCTTCGCCCACCAGCAGATTGACCTGGTGTGGCACTTTCGATTCTTTAGATCGTAGGTTGATGAACTGGTACCAGAGGCCACCGAAGCAGAGGGATTGCGGCAGATCCTGACAAATCACTACGGCACACATACACCATGGATCAGCACGAACTTCCTGAGTAGTCAAGCCCGAACCACCACAGATCGCAGCAACTGGGCGCGGATCCCTACGAACATCCACAAACCACCGACCATGCGCCAACCAAAAATGACAGAACAGTTACCAGAAAATGGGTCGAAACACTACGCACTGACTGAAATGATCAGAAACCACCACCGGTCATCATTGATCACCAGAACCAAGCCTCTACTGTCACTACTCACTCTCACTGCAGCACTTGCCATGTAGACATGAAAGTGTCACGCCCTTTGGCAAAATGAATGTTATACCACGCAAGAACCGTTGAGAAGGAGACTGATTGCGCAGGATCGACGCCAAACGGCAGAAGGCTCACAAAACAGGAGCAACATGCTGATTCCACTAACATCGACTATAACTCGTTTTTTGCACATACAGGGAAACATGTTGGCAATGAAGGTTCGCTTGGGAATGCTGAGGCGAAGGCCCCGCAGCCCCCAGAGAATGCTCACAGCTGAGCTGGTTGACATTGGTTGGCAGGTGAAAGAGAGAGTTGGTTGATCACCATTCCTAAGAAGGCGTTCATTTCGCTGTTCGCTTGTGTTTTGGAGAGAATCAAGAAATAACATGAAATAACATGTTTGGATGCCAAGTGTACATGGCAAAGGCAAGGCCAGACTGAACAAACAAGGGCCTAGCAAAAACAGATATATAACTCCGCTGACCTTTGCGTCACTGAGGGAAATTTGCTCAGCAACTTGCGACACCTTCGTGCCTTGGCCTAATCCTATTTGCTTGCAATTATTGTGGGACAGAAGGAAGCCGTTAGTTCAGTCTTTCCCCGACATTCAGGGCCAAATCATGGAAGGGCAACCTGCACATTCCAGCTTTGCCGCAGGCTACATGGAGTCAAACCAGTTGGACGTCGAATTGGCCCGTGTCCTTTGCCTCACGCACATTCGAGTGCCTTGTTACTAATTTGTGGTGGCAGCTGTATTTCAAGGCACTTGTTACAGTTTGCTCAGTCGACTAGACTCTGATGTTGGTCAGCAAGGACCAGATCCAAATTGCAGCCTAGGAGGCACACTGCTTTCTGTGATTTCCCAGACATGTGAGATTGACAAGTTGGGTCCCCAATACACAGCTGCAAGGACCATCGGCCTGACTGACAGTGCTCCTGGCGAGGAACGCTGTCCGATACTGTTGTAAACCACGATTAGCTTGGGTCTGAAGCAGTGTGACGGATGCAACGTTCAACCTTTAATTTGCCACCACAATCGTCACCAGCACATGCGCGCGCAGATAAACATTTTGGGTGCCGTTTTGACTGCTTTAGTCGTTCCATTTTTAATCTGTTCTGCTCTCAAACCAGCCAGGGAGCCGGTTTGCGAATGCATCGCCCCACCTTTCAAGTTTCATGGCTGCTACATCCTTTGACTTTTGCCACTGACTTCAAGGGCTTTTGAAAGGATGCCTTTCCTGCCTGTATATGCCCCACTTTCATCTTTTGTGCCGCACTGGCCATATCAAGATGGATCTCGGCTGATCGCCTTTCAAAGTGTGACAGCAGTGAACTAAAAGCTTTGTTGAGTGCTCTGTAGTTTTGTCCACGCCAATAAGCTTTGTGGGCGAGCAGCTGACGGGCTGACCTGTTGAAGCACTTAAATAAAGTTTTGACATCGGAGACCGCCTTCAATGGATAGTGACTCCGAGCTTATATAATGCTTTTGCTTTCAGTTCAATGTGTGCACAGAATGAGCTGATTGCTTTGCTTGTGTTTACTTATCCAACAGCAAGTTAGTTATTATGAGATGAGACCGTATGAGACATGCTTTTTTGAGACGTCAATGTGAGTTGAAGATGGAATGTTGAGAGAAAGCTTGCGGAAGCAATCAAGGCCAAGTCAGTATAAATCAGAATGAATCCACCTGCGGCAAAAGTACCTGTCCTGGAAGGTCGCACTGACGAGGCAATTGTTGGAACCGAAATCCATTTATATACATATCCTTATGGCACCTTTTGCCAGAGCCCTGACAATTAAACAGATTGTTCTTATTTAGCTAAGTTCAGCTAATTCTCGGAATTGAGTTACTCTTGTGGGAGATGGGATACGGTCAATGATTTTGTTGAAGTACCTCTTGGATATCAAATTCAATAACTCACGATATACGCACCCGTGCACCACACTTGCTTTTGTTTTTTGCAAACTATATTTGTTGTTTATTATCTTTGTAGCCATCACAGTCAGGAATACCAAAGACCAAACCCAAAGCCCAAAAGAATAAAACTCCGGGGAGAACCTTTGGCTTCAATCTGACAGATGGTGTGTGGTGGCATTCCTTGTATGCGTTGAAGTTTATTTATGTTTCTTTATGTGGGGCTCCATTCTTCCCAACACCAAACAATGACACGACAATAACGCGTCTTTTTTGGAGGGGAAAGGAGGTACTGTCACTGTACCTGAGGTACAGTCTATCTAACAAATCAAAAGCATTACAAACAGAGAAACCAACAATGGTCTTCAGACTCAAACCAAGGTTTTGGTGCATGTGTTTGGTTTTGGTGTTTTTTTTCATTTTTTACATCTACAGTATACTGGGTGCAGATCACATGGGATTTAGAACACATACATGGGCACTCACACATTCCCAAGTCATTTGCCTTAACCCTCCTGCTGATAAATCCCATGTCATCAAGCAAACGAACCGACGCAACCCAATACAAGAGTCGGTAAGTCCTAAGTCATGTGAAAAACGTGTGGGTACCTAACCGTTAGGTTAGGTGAGTACAGGCAGAGCAGGATGAGATGGGAGTTGTGACACTTGTGTCACTTGACGCCATAACTCCCATGTGATCTGTACCCAGTATAAAAAGATCCAAGACTTCAATATTTCTATCTGCCAATTTTCAGACTGGTTGAGGACATGGACTTGTATAATACGAATGAATGAAAACAGTACTCACCCCTTTCCATGGTATGTTTGCAGCAAGTGCATTCATCGAACGATGACACGCACAAATCATGAAGTGTACGAAGACCGCTCTGGTTCGAGGGAAAAGCGCTTCGCATGGTAGCGGAGCCTGAGAAGCCTACCCCCCTTTGGGGGTAGGTGGAGGCTCGTTTTTTTTTAGCTGACGCCATAGGCTTGAGGCTTGGACCACATCCCAAAGTCTGAGAAGGTCCCTGAAAAGGAGATCGGTGGCCATGGCTGGTTTAGAGGAGGCAGCAGGATCACCTTCATCGACCGGAGGAGGAGGTGAAGGAGCTGAGATAGCCATGAGAATGGTTCAGGCCGCAGAAGCTGCTTCGTTAGCTGCAAGGACAGCAGCTGAGGCCCTGGTCAGGCGAAATGCTGGAGAGGAGTCATGGTTTAAGGTGCTACCAAAACCATCACCACTAGATGCCCGCAACCGTGAAGAAGAACTTGGGCAGTGGCGAGATTTCAGTTGGGGGATCGAACAATATCTTTCATCCCTGAACGGCATGTTCACCGAAGACTTCAAGGACATCAGAGCCAGGCCGAACGACCCCATCGACCCGAGCATCCAATCTGATGAAGAGAAGCAAAGAAGCAAGTTCCTCTATGCCCTGCTGGCTTCGTTGGTTAAGCACCGTCCTCTTGCCATGATCCGCCAGGTCAAAGAGTCCAACGGCATGGAAGCGTACCGCCTCCTCGTGCAGAGCTTGGAACCCACCTCCAAGAACAGGGCACTCGGCCTTTTGACTATGATCTTGGAGTGGAAGCCCTTTGAGATGAAGAAAGGGAGCATCCTTGGACAAGTCCTGCGGCTAGAAGAGGCCTTTGCAGAATATGAAAAGACGGGCTCAAGGCTCGAGGACAACATCCGCTTCGCCGTCCTGATGAGATGTGTTGGTGGCCAGCTCAAAACCTGGCTTCAGCTGAACGTCGCAGAGTCCCAGGACTACCAGAAGCTTCGAGAGGCCATCGTGCAGTATGATAATGCGACGATGAGATGGACAAATGTGATGATGTTGGGAGCTGAGGCCAGCAGCACAGATGGAGTGGTCCCCATGGAGATTGACAGGATCAAGGGCAAGGGCAACGACCACAAGGGCAAAGGAAAAGGCAAAGACTTCGACAAGAAGGGAAAAGGAAAGGGCGATGGAAAAGGAAAAGCCAAAGGAAAGGGCTATGGCAAGCCTCAAGATTTTGGAGGCAAGTCCCAATCGAAGAGCGCTGGAAAAGGAGATGGCCAGAAGGGCCAGAAGGGCAAAGCCGAGCAGAAGACGTGCTTTACATGTGGTAAAGTGGGCCATTTCTCCAAGGACTGCTGGCAACGCCTTCGACAAGTCAGTGAAGAAGGTGGAAATCCTCGATCCAGCGCTGAGACAGGAACAGTGTCTTCAAGCACTACGACATCGAGCCCAGGGATGAGCGGAAAGGCAGGAACCGTGAAGAGAGTGGAAGAAGTATCACCTTTTGAATTCAAGAATGAGCCCATGGTCTTTGACTTGAGGCCTATGTCAATGCCAAGCGTGGATAGCAAGCAAATCCGGATGGTGCAGTTTTTCTCCATCTCTGAGGACAATGAGCCCAATGGCGAGCACGACAAGCTGATCTACCACATCATGGCTGTGAAGGAGCACTATGAGAGCATGGGAGAAGAGAGCCCAGTGAAAGTGGTCATCGATTCAGGAGCTGACGCTACGATTTTGCCAAGCTCCTATTTGGCCATTGGCACCGAGCTGGATGAAGGAGCACCCCGTCTGCAAGATGCTCAAGGAACTCCTATAGAGATTCGAGCATACAAGCAAGTGTGCTTCATCTTCAGGACTGAGGATGACAAAGAGGTGCAAATCTTTGACAAAGCCCATTTCTCTGACGAGATCAACCAGCCCATCATTTCCTACGGCAAGTTGATGGAAGCAGGCTGGAACATTGAAGCTGGGCAGTTGAATGGGGGCCAACATTCCATGACGTTTGGTCTAGGGCAAAATGTTGTGAGGATCCCACTTCAGCTGCAAAACAGGAGTTTGGTGGCCACTGGACATCTTCGTGCAGTGGTCGAGGAGACGTCAGAACCTATGATGGTCAGGGTGCTGGAGGCAAAGCTGCTGGATGGCCTGCAAATGAAGGCTAGATACCAAGTCGGCTGGAAGCAGGATGAGGACAAGTGGATTGGAGTCCATTTGGCAAGGAAGCTGCAGACGCCGCAGTTCGTTGGCGAGATCCCTTCAACAGTTGATTGGAGGAGGACGACATTGGTGAGAATTGAGGGCCAATGGCAGCTGTATGAGATGTGTGAGAACCTCCATGGGCTTGTAAACCAGGAGGAGCAGATCGAGAACGTCGAGGACAACACCCTGGTGCTGACGATACTCACCCCAGCTGAGGTGAGCACTGAGGAGATGGGCTTTGAGGTCGAGACTGGCCTTGATTTGAGGCCGAAGGTGGATGAGGCACTTGCAAGGAGAGATCATGAGGTCCCCATGGAGGAACCACTGAGGATGGTGGATGATGAAGGAAGTGCAGAAGCAGCGGATAGTGGTGGAGTGATTGCTGGGCGTGCAGCAGTTGATGAACAAGAAGGACGCTTGGTATTGGAGGCCGGACTGCCAGACCATGTGATTGTGAATGACATCCAGTTGACAGCCACAAGTAAGTTGAGAGAGCTTCGAGCAGCATGCCACTTCTACGGCATCAGCCAATCTGGAAGCAGGTTGAAATGTTTTCAACGCATCGTGAGCCACCTCAAGGAGTGCGAGCTGAAGGCTGCTTCAGAGGCCGTGGCAGCTACAGAACTTCAGATGGCCAGACAACCAAGGATGCAGAATGTCATCCCCGTGCCTCCGAGACAAGTGCAGGATCTACATGCCCTTACACGCGTACCATACCAGCCATGGTGTGAGGTCTGCTTGAAGTACAGAGGAAGGCCTGACAGGCACTTGAGGACCGGTGCTTCTCACACCGGTGGGATACCGATCATATCCCTGGACTTCGCCTACACCAAGGCTGGAGAGGTGGACAGAGCACCAAAGGCACGAGATCGAGGACACGACCCTGAAGATGGTGATGAGGTGATTGACCTCTATGATCAGGAGGAGCGAGAAGATAG